TGCTGTAAGTCTTCCAAGAGTTTACCCATATCTGACAGAAACATGTATAAACGTTTTTATCATTTGAAATTATAATGTTGTGAACACCAAGAATACATATAGACATGAAAGAAAGCAATCATGCTGCTTTTTTCTCCTGTTTTGTGCTTAAAAAGCAAGGATTGGCAGAGTTGTAAATACTTCCTTACCACTGACTGAAAGACCTGATTCTACTGGTCAAAATTTGGATTGGCAACTAATGTCAGATTGGTTGTTTGATTTCAACTGATGTGTCCTGTATACATTACCACTAGAACTGTAAAAAAATAAGCAGAATACAACTGTAATAGATTTTTTTTTTTTTTTTTTTAATGAGAAGCAGTTTGAAAGATAGAGCAGGCTGACATTCAACCCAGTGGAATCCCTGAGAACTTCCTTTACAAACTCTTTTCAGTGGACAAAGAGAAGGGACAGCAGCCTCCATCTTGCAGATGTGGTCATCTCTCCCCCACATTGTTTGGGCGAGAGAGTTAAATTCTACCATACCCATGGTTCTTATGATGAGCAGCTAGTTTCAGGTTTTATAAGGTACACAAAATCTTAAACCAGTTATTTAATGGCACATGTCATTTAGCTCTGAGAGGAAATAAAGGTCCTTAGAACTTTTTTTCATGACCAAAACATGAAGATAAAGGCTTTGTGTAAATAACAAGGACATTTTACAATCTCACATACTGTATTGTGCTAATTTCTCACTTCATTTCATGGGTCTTTTAGTCCAGGCATCACCCTGAAGAGATTAGGGGAGCACTAAACAAGAACATAAGAACATAAATTCTGTGTCTTATTTCTGATAACCAATTTGTTGCGTAGCTTCTCTATTCCTGCAAAACACAAATCCTATAAACGTTTTAACAATGGCTATATTTGTACAAGATACTGAGCCATAAGTAGCCAATAACATTTTAGTCTAGTGTGTTGTATAAAATCCATTCCCTGTGATTAGTTTATCCTTCAGTATGTCAAACAAACCTAAGAACTAGTTTTAATTCCATAACCCATATTTAACTTAAATATGTCAGGCCGCACAGCAGATATTTTGCTGGAGGCATGAAGTCTAAATCTTTTAATTCTGACAGAATTAAAGAATGCGTTCCACAGCATGTCAGCCAACTTGCAGATGCAATCTTGTGCCTATTTGATCAAAGGCAAACTATCTAACTTTTCAGAATACTGTACAAGTTTGCTGTGTTCTGTTCTAAATGCTAAATTTTAATTTGTTTCAGACAGAACCAAACTGTTACAAAAGTTTATAATGCTTAGTTGATATGATGAACTTCCTTCCTTCTTTCACTTGCCACAGAGGAAGAGTGCTAAGGCTAAAGTGTGCCAGGATTCATGGAGGCTAAGCTGTAATTAAATACTAAAACCTTCTAACAAGAACATAGCGACTATAAATTTGTGCCCTGGATCCATGTTTCTACAGAACAATAGTGCAAGGGTCTGTCATTTTTATTTATAATGTAATCTTTGGCCTTGGATTTAAGTAGCAGCTTTATAGAGCTTACAGGAGCCTCAGTTCCACGTTCTTAGGCAACAACAACAATAGAGATTCGTGATTTTGGTTGTGAATATATAGACCTTATTGCAATTTGTAACTTAATGGAGGAATGGAAAGATTCCATGTAAAAATATCCGAAGAGGATGATTGGGGAGCTGTGCCTCAGCTAAGGAAGGGGAACCTGTGCTTGTGCAGATGTTGCTGAATGACAGCTTTTAGCATTGGCCATGGTATGGCTGCATGGAGCCGTAGTTCAGCAATCAAAGACCACCATTTCCCCACAGTCTTGGATAAATGTTTTGGTCAGCTCTGTTATTTTTAGATTATGATAATATCTCAATCCTATGACGATTATTTGTGATTTTTACAATACAGAAGTGAGAGGCGACATAGAAGTGGATTTGAGAGGCTTCTGGCTATAATCCATGAGGATACACATCCTCTGAAGCACAATGTGATGATTTGGTGACCTCCTCGTGAAAAGCCAGGAATCAGCGGATTTCTGGTTTTGCACCAAGCTCACATGAAGAAATGAATATGTGATTTCCAGAGTTCTGTAGATAACAGACGGATCTACAGGTAGTGGTAGTTTTGAGGGGTCTTCAAAGAAAACCCTGAGGCTCTTTGTAGATGTAGTCTTTTCCTCAGCTACCCTGTATCCTTGTGAGGTTGGTTATTCTCACGTAAACCATAATTTCTATGCCACAGTTCCATTTTTGATCATGGAAATGGTCTCTGTGTTACAAAATTCAAAGCACCCTAAAGAAATGCCCTTCCTTTTTCGACGGGGTGCTCTGCATTTTTCTCCCATGTTTTCTTTTCTTTCCTAGTAGTCTTTCATCATTTAGAGTAGTTGAAAAATAAAGGATAATTAAGAAGAAGAATTGTTTGTCAAGGACTCGGCTTTTCGAGCGGTAAAACCAACCCCGAAGCAAAGGAGGAGAGGCTGCGGGGATAGCGGCCCTCAGCCCCAGGCAGCGAAGGCCAAGCCCGAGTCGTACTTCGCTTCCTCACCGGCGGGGGGCGGCATTGCCACACAACCTGCACCTCAGCGGCGCACATAGGCAAGAGGAAATCTACGGGGCGAAACCACTGGCAGCGCGTGCCACTCTTCGCCGCGACTGCTGCGCGCGCATTGCCGGCAGGGGCGCAAGAACCACTTTCCCCTCGACCATCGGACTGAGAGATTTTGCAATTTCAACCACTGACTTTGAGGGTTAGCAGATCTTTGTGCTGCAGCAGGTTAACCTGACTTCTCTGGGAGAACTCTCTTAGCTTGGACAGGGCTGTTGGAAACTGCTAGCCCCGAGAGAGTCCTCTTTCATTAAATGCCGCTCTCCCCGGTCTTGCTCCTTCAAGAAGTGCATTTCAAATGGGGGGGGGGGGGATTGGGGACCTCCCGAGGGAACGACGT